CCAAAGTTTGTAAGTTGGTTCATCATAGTTATCGCGTGTTTATTGAAATGCTTTGGTTTATCGACTTTGTTTTGTTATTGATTCGAGACCGAATCAATTCGTTTTGTAACGATATTTGTTGTTGAGAGTGTATTTGTTTTTCCGTTTCGTCGGTAGTCGTGGGTCTTGTATTTTGTATTAATGACTTAATTTGTTTGAAAATGGAGTTTGGTCCTTTTCATAACCCTCCTTTTATAAAAATAACACTTTTGGTCCTTTTATATAAAAGAGTTTCATTTTTAGTCCTTAAAATACTTTTCTTGACACTTTTGTATAATTTATTTGATGAAAACACGATTTTAACCCAAAGTTTACTTAGTTGACAGCTTCAGCCCCTCTGGAATAGTGATTCTTGGTTAAGGACCCATTTTTCACAACTTTTACAGTTTTGGCCCAAAATCTAAAAAGTTTGCATTGTTGGTCCTTTTTGATAATGAAAAGCATTTTTGACCCTTATAAACATTTTGTTATGCTAATTACCCCCTGTTTTACAGAAAGTTACATTTCCAGCCCCTCAAACTTATAAATTTCGCATTTTGAGGCTTATTGGGCCGAGAAGCCCATTATTAGCCCAATATGCTAAAAATTTACATTTTAAGTCCCTTGAAATTTCTAATATTCAGAAAAATATTTATAGAAACTGTTTTGACCCTTTTAACCTTCAAGAAACCGTGACTTGTTGATTTTTACCCCAAGTTTGTATTTTTGACAATTTAAGCCCAAAAATGGGTTTTATGTTAAAGTATGTTCATCATAACCTTATAAACTTATTTTTCTTGACTTGTTTAGTGTAAAATAGCTTAAGTTATGTTTATTTCCTTTCTCATGTCCTAGATCTCGGATTTACACCCTTTTTGGTAACATATTCATCACAAATCACATGAAATCACACACATACATGCATCAAATCACACATAGCATACATATACACATAGATCTACACATTTTCTTGTATTCTCCCCCATAAAACTCATAAAAACCGAAAAGAAAGGGGTATGAAGCTCACCTTGAGTGTGGTTTCGGTTTTTGAAGAAGATTTTGAGAAGTTTGGTGCTATTTTCGGCCCTAGCAAGTTCCTTGGATGGATCTCGAACTTAGTGGGTTCTAAGATGCAAGATCATGAACTTGAATGGATTAAGAGATGATTTTTGATGAAAAGAAGTAGCTAGATTATGGATCTAAGCAATATCTTTACCTTAGATGATGAATTTTTATGGAGAATTTCCTTGAAAGCCTTATAGATCTCGAAAGTATGGAGAGGAGTGGAGAGAGTTTTCTTGAGAGGATTTTTGAGTGAAGTGTGTGTGTGTGAGTTTGGATTCGGCCGAGAGCAAGAAAGAGAGGAGAGAAGAGAGAGTGAGTGATTGGATGGTGCATGGAAGTATGAGTCATTTGCATGGAAATCCTTTGAACAATTGTGAGGTGGCATCCAAGAGTCAACTGGGTTGGGCTTGGGTCGAGAATGGAGAGAAAGAAAAAAAAAGATTTGGGCCCTTAATGCTTAAGCACATATTATAATCCATTTAGGTGAATTTTTGGCCCAAATAAATCTAGGAATGATTTTTATGGCCTATTAGGGCTAAATTAGGTTCCAATAAGGTCCATTTAAATATTTTATTTCATTCTAGGCCCAATATGGCCCAAAATATTAAAATAAATGAAAGTGGGTCCAATTAGAGCCCATTCAAGAGTTCTAAGCCCAAGATAGTCCAATTGGAAGCTTATTGGTCCATTGGGCCCAATAAGGAAATCCTAGTCCAAAATGGACTTAAACAAGGATTTCTAGGGTTTCCAATTATTTGTTGACTATTTGCAGTGCTTGTATGAAGTGTTTGATTGAAATTCTGTTGTTATTGAATAAGCATCTTACATGTTTTCACATTTTTGGTTCACATTTGTTATCATTGTTCAATGTTTACAAGGCATCAAAATTCCTAGTTGTGACAATTGTGGAGTGGTAACCATTTCCAAGGGCTAGTGGTTTGGTAGTGGGTTTGTAGTAGAGCTGACATGACGTTGAGTTGTCGTCACTTTTTGAGTGGATTGGATGTGACCACTCCCCTTAGCCTAATACTATGTCGTTGCCGTGGATCGGGTCCTCCGACACATCTAGCCATGATTAAGCTAGTGCCATTTCTTCATCATCCGTCCACTCTTGACATTGAGCCCTCCATTTTCCTTTTTTTGTGCTTGTGGTTGGACTTCCGGCTCTTGAAATGATTATTGAACGGGATCTTCAACGGGGCCTTCATCGGAAGAATCGGTTGACTCGTCGAGTAGGCAGAGTGGTTGGGATTAAAAGTTAGTTTGCAGTTGGAGTTGAACCGTTTCAAACGGATCAAGATCCACATTCGGACGAGGTGTTGGTTGAGATTGGTTGTGGTAAAATCTCATTGGTTGAGAAGAGTACGGATTAAATGGAAACATTTGCGGACCCATTATATGATAGTAGAAGCTAGCGGCGGAGTGAATTGGTTGATCAAATGATGGTCGATAACATGGTGGAGATGGAAGGTTTGGTGATTGAGTGTTTGGAGATGGAAGGTTTAGTGATGGAAAGTTTGAAGATTTCTTTTTCTTGTTTCTTGGGGTTTTGTTTGGGTGAGATGGAAGGTTTAGTGATGGAAAGGTTTGGTGATTGAGTGCTAGGGGCGGCGTTCAATACGCTTGGCGAGTGTTAGCGATTGTGCATAGCAAGTGGACTCCTTTCAGTCTTAGCCTAATATTATGTTGTGTTGCTCTCCCTTAGACCGTCCGATATGCATACCACGAAATGGGTCGTGGTCTAGGTGGCCACGACCGTGGTTAGTGCACACCATCCCGGTTCTTAGTGGTCATGGTAAATTGTTTTCCATACAACGGATCACCACCTCCAATCAAATTCTTTCTCTCTCTATCTCTCTAACTTTTTCTATCTCTCTCTACAATATATATATATATATATATATATATATATATATATATATATATATATATATATATATATATAGTGGTAGGTATCTCATAGGTTTAGTGGTTGGATGTGGTGATGAGGTGACACCTACCACTATAGTGGTTAGTGATGGATATAACGGATGACCTTACAAATGTCTTTTCATACTTTTTAGTTGCATTCAACATCAAAAATTACATTTCCAATAAGTTACAATCAGAGAAACATTTTTCTTAGCTCAATACATTTATGTTTTTTAATTGGGTTTGTAACTTCATTTTACTCATCCAACCCACCTTATACAATTTTTTTCATTTTCCAAAAAAAAAAAAACAATTAACTTCAAACATGTGAAGCTCATGCGTGTTCACCACTCATAATCATGCCACCCCATTGGTTAACAATATTCTTGAAATATTGAAACAAGACGTTATTTTATCTAGAGTAATGGTAAACGTCCTCATAAAGTCTATGTTGTGACAAACATTGATCAATAGTCGTACCAAGCAAATCATTTTTTGGATGTAAAAGTAATATAAGATCTTCTCATGCAATACTCAAGATTTACTAATCATATGAGCAGTCATACACATGTGATGCAATTTATGACAAGACTTCTATGAAAATTATACTAGCAAAATATATTTTTATTCCTTTATGGTCACATTTATGTGTTACGTACATGTTTTCCTCCAATTTGGTCATTTCAAAACACGTTTGTTTGCTTTTTATCCCATTTCTCTGGAAACATCTTACAATTTTTCATTGTGAAAACTAGTTCATTTTTCCACTCACTTTAGTGCAGTGATCAAATTGGGTGTTAATTGGATGAATTTAGTTCAATTATAACTTGATTGGATGTATTTGGTTTTAATTTGATCTTGAGAGATACCATCAAAAGTCTAATAAAACAACAATTCCCTTTTTGTGTATTAAACACTTAGAATCGATCCAATCTAACCACAATTGAATATTCAATGTTGGTCCGTTTGTTTTAATCGGATTTGAACCGGTTTAAATTTGATCAGATAATACAAAGCTCTACTTTTCATTTTCTCACTTTTCTTTTTGTTTTATTTGTGACATGGTCACCAATAAGCTTAGTCTTATAACCTGTTCAAATTGTGACATGGTCACCAATAAGCTTAGTCTTATAACCCGTTCAAATCCATCCCAATAGCAATATTCATAGATATAAGTTTTATTGGCTATATTATTAAAAGCATACAAGGGACATAAGTTGCAACGCATATGTCATCAAAAAAACCAATTGATATGGTTGAATTACCTTCAATTGTGTGTAACCTAAAATCATGTTAACACGACATACAAAAGAAAACTGATCAAATCTTTGTATATTATGAATCCACATGTTTGCTTCCAAAATCAACCACCACTACAAGAAAAGTCCTTTTTAGTGACCACCTAAAATCTGTCATGAACATCATCATTTAGTGACCTTATATTAAGTCGTTGCTTAATTTTGGTAATGCTATAAGTTTAGTGACCAGTTCTATAATTTTTGTCACTCACAGGTCACTAACCGTAAAATAAAATCAGTCATTACTTAATATCATAACTAGTTTATTTTTTTTATTTTTTTTGAAACAGCAAACTATCATACTCCCAATCTAATCTTAAACACCACCAAGTCTCCTAGTAAGACTTGAACCCATGATCTCTCATTTTAAAGAGTCACTCCTTACCGCTAGGTCAATGACCCTTTAGTCTTAATGACTAAAAATAATGGTTGTTCTATTGGATGCTTTAATGACAAAAAAAATGGTCACTGCATTAGAGGCTTAGTGACAAAAAATAGTGGTTATTAAAAAAATTTCGTTATTTAAACCCAACTAAACGGCATGTAGTGACGACACAATATGGTCATTGAAATACAAACTAAAAAAAGATTACTAATCATTAAATAGTGGTCACTGACCAACATATGTTAGAAGTAGATAAATTGGATCAAATAAATACATGTCATCAAACCACAAGGGTGAAAATGCGACTTACCCTAAACTATGAATGATAGAGTAACAAGACATGTAGACCATTATATGCAAACAAACCTCTTCAATCGTTTCACCACCATTCTCCTCCACCGTCTCCAAGCCCTAAACCTTCCCTAATCTCCAATTCATCAACTCCAAATCCAATTTCTACTGCTTAGGGTTTTTGTGTCAGCCGAGAGTTTCAAGGATCTGGGAAATGGCAAGTTCGATGACTACCACCGTCTATATCCAAGTCATCGAGGATGTCATCAACAAAGTCCGAGAAGAATTCGTCATGGCGAAGGAATTCCTTCGCCTCGATGTCGTTGCCACTTCTTACTTGCGGTGAAAGCACAAAAACGGCAACATGCCTGTGGTAAGGTTCATCCTCCCACTGACCGGCGCCACCTCTCTCTCTCTCTCTCTCTCTCTCTCTCTCTCTCTCTCTCTCTCTCTCTCTCTCTCTCTCTCTCTCATCGACTATATTAGATTTCGATAGAAGGTTAGATGGACAATTGAATCTATGTTCTTATGAGCACCATCAATTGACCTAATTTTATTTATTGTTTTTTTGTTATTTTCACAATTTTGACAATTGAATCCAACAAGCTTGACGTTCATAGGGAACAGTGGCTTTCTCAAGGTGTTTTATTCTTGCTTTGATTATTTAGATTGTTGATCTTTGTTTTACAGTAGTTATTAAGGTACATAGCCTAAAATGATATTAAGTGTAAAGAATGGTAAAAACAAGCTTATTAACTGTGATTTTTATTTGTTATGGTGTTCATTTTGTTCTAATGAAGGTGAAAATGTCCTCTATCTTCTCACCTCGATTCATAGGTAATCAAAATGAAGGTGAAAGTGTCATTTATCTTCTCATCACAATTCACAAGTAATTGGAATGAAGATGTAAAAGCTGTGATCAGTGTTTACCCTTGATTTATTCCCTGGTTGTACTGTTAGTTATTTAAGTAGCAGGAGACTGAAAGATATAAAAAAAGTGGTGGAGCCTAAGGCTGATCCATGAAGGGACCAAAGAACTGTCTTTTACTTACCATGTGCATATTTTGGATGAATATTATCATTTTGACTTTGTTTAACTATTGTGTTCCATAAAAATTCTTTTTGTCGTCAATCTGTTGTTTGCAGATGAAGGCAATGGAATATGATGTTCATGAGTCCTCAAAAGCAGGAAAGGTAATGGGTAATTCTTACTCTTTATCATTGGCAACCAATTGTTTTGAATTAAAAGCTTTATTCTTGCTAAGTGCTCTTATATTTTCTATCTTTCTAAAAATCTAACCTTTTTTGGTTATTGGATTCTTCATGTTGAAAGGAAGTGATAACAACTTGCAGTTCTACCAAGAACCTACTATATCAGGTCTCAGATTCTTCATTTGGGTTGGATTCAACATGAGTATAGGAACAAGTCATACATGTATAACATTGCTTCTAAAGTATTCAAGATTAGTCAAAATAATAATGCGATTAAGGGTGAGTTCTTATTCTTTTTATTTAAGATACATATTATAATTGTTATTAATAATCAGGCTTCTTGTCTTAGTGAAAACTGAAAAGTAACTCCAACCTAAAATAACCTTTCAACCGGACCCAAACCTCATAATCTATAATATAAATGATCGAGTTACCCTCTTTGGCATATTAACATAAGATGACATCAATATGATGATGTTGATCATTTCTTGTAATATAAATAGGACACACCTGGAGTGGGAGCTTTTATAATGATGTGTATTATGGACATTATATCTTCTGGTAAATTTTATTGTAGAACAAATATGGGGTCTTTTCCTCTATTGTATTCTAATCGGATCGGATAACAATTTGGGGAAAAAGGCAAATCTCCAACTTTTGTTGAAATAAGGTTTTGAATAACCACTTCATATATGTCTCAGTTTATTTTATGTACGTTCTATATGTTTTAAGCATAAATTCCTTTGTTTGCTAATATATTTAGCTATGAACACAAATCATGTTGGGGTTTAGGGTTCTTATGTAAAATGAGCTTTAACCCTTCGTTCTACATAATATATTTTTGGGTGTTATAGTTCCTTTAAAAGGGAGTGAATCTATTTAGTGAACGCATAGTCTATTAGGCTACTAGTTATGTGGTACTAAAAAATAATTATATAAATAGTTAATATAAATTGTTAATGAGGTTAGGCGAGTGTAGGCTTGTAGCTTTCATGATTTATAACTCACAAATGCTAAAACATATAATGATTATGAATACGAGTATAGAAAAAAAAATCATTACCTTAAACTGTAATCTTGATAATAATTTGCAAATTTATTAATTTGGTATTTTATTTTTGATAATAATAAAGTTCTTACTTGGTCTTTCCCCTTCTTGCAGTAAATTTGAAATTACCAGGAAACTTCTAGGGTTAAAATTGTATGGGGTGCGGGTGATTTGTGCTTCCAAGAATTCTGAACAGAGTAAGCCTTGACTTCCTTTATTCATATGAATTTTTATGGATTATTATATATGCCCGATAATGGTAAGAAAAAGCAATGTACTTCCCTCTTTTTACCAACATAGGTAATGTACTTTATTTTGTAAACCATAATAGTAATGTACATGCTTCTTTTACAACATTATGTACTTATGTTTTTGTACAAATAACATCAATTAATGTGCATTTCTGTAGCCATATTGTTAAGAAATGTAAGTACATTGTTAGTACATTTCTATTAGCGGTAAAGAACTGTAAGTACATTACTATTTCTTTTCTACTTAATGAGTTATACACTTATTCTGGACGAATATACATGGTTTGGTTGTTTCTTTTTTACTTGATCTCGACATAATGGCTTAATCATTTAAGTAAAAAAACTTGGTTAAAGTTGATGATGAATATTATGAGATTTGTTGTTTTGAATATAAGGGTAAAATGGTCATTTGGTATCCTTTAGACAGTTTATTATGTCCAGAAAAGAAAGAATATATATATATATATATATATATATATATATATATATGTATACAATGCTTCTTATCCAGACATCGTTGAATTGTTGTATTTGAGTCGGTTAATTTCTCTCTTTTCCAGGATTTTTAACTAATAAGAATGTTTTCATCAAATTATTTATGTATATCTTTTATTGTGAAACGAGAGCCTCTTCTATTGTTTTTCTCAATGTTACTATGCATTATTCTAATGAGAAATTCTTTTGTAGGCTGGGACATGCCAAGAGAAGAACTTAAATAAATGAACAACTAAAAGAATCAAGGTTTGTTAATGAATTTTTATATATATAAATATTTAAAATGGTTTAATGAGGCCAATAAAGCCTTGTTTATGTTTTTTCCCCTCCATTAAGTTTTGTCAAGAAATGATATGTGGAAAATATTTGAGGAAACAAAAAGAAAATATAAATTAATGTTGAGAGTTTTGTTCCCACTTTCTCAATTAAGCTGTTCTTTCTATGTTAAGTAAAAAAGAAACATCTACACCAATGGATAAGGTGTATATATGAGTAGTTCTTTTTGACTTAATACAGAAATAACAACTTTATAAAGAGATTTAGGGACTTGAGTCTGTCCATTAAGACCTAAATTTTTACAATTTTTGCGGCATTAATAGTCAATGCAGAAGCAACTATTTCACTTATCTTTAACTTGTTTTCAGATAAAAAAAAAAGGACCATCCGTTCATGAAGATTCTCAAAGCACCATAATTCGATGGCCATAAAGACACTTGAAAATGTTTATTTTTATTTTGATGTCTTTTAATTTTAAAATATTTGTTTTGTAAAAATTTGATATCTATATGTAAGAAATAGTGACATATTTTAGATGATATGTTATTTATAACATTCTACTTCTATCTATGAAAATTCTATCCAATTATATTTATGAAAAATATATAGCAACTCAATTATAGCATTGTCTTTTCTCATAGTTTCTTAAACAGTGACCACTTTTTTTTGGGTCTCTAACAATATTTATTTAGTGACCACTTTTTTTGGTCACTAATTATATAAGTTAGTGACAACTTTCACTGATTAGTGACAAGATTTAGTGACGAAACCGGTTGTCACAGATTTAGTGACCATTATATTTTAGTCACTATTTAGTGACCACTTATATATTTGCTCACTAAATATGGACCTATAGTGACGACCAGATATTTGGTCACTAAATCACTTATTGACGACTCTTTCTATTGTTAGTGACCATTTCGCTGTTGTCACCAATTGGCATTTTTTTGTAGTGCACAATCTTTGATTCTATGAAGCATCAAATATGACACATACCTCATAATTAAGAGAAGGTAGAAGAAAGGAAGTCTTGATCCTCCAGAAAGATCTGCAGATTCTTGATCTTCATGAGGAACTCAACTGCTTCCTCCTCAAACTCCAACAGAAACCCCAGCCTTATGAGCTCACACAACATGACAATTAGGGTTAAGTGTTTCTTACTTAACCCATTAAGGACTTAATCCATCAAGTCATTTGCTCTACTATATACATGATATGGAGTGATTGGGCTTAATACATAATCCAATCCCAATGGCCCAAAAGTGGATCCAAATAAGCCCGAGGCCCAAATACTCACAATTAGGATTTTCCACCCAAACATGGCCCAATAGGACCAAAATTAATCTTTAAGCCCATTAGGGTTTTGGCTAGGTCCATTAGGGTTTTGCTTGTGGGGCACCACCTACTACCACCTCGGGTAGTGGTGGTCAACGGCGGTTCACAGCGGCGGCCACCACCTTACGGTGGTGGTTATGGTTCTTTTCATTAATCTTTGCTAATTAAAATTAGCATGATTAATCCAAAAATAAACACACACACACTAACTAATACACACACAGCCACCCTAGCAGTGGCCGGCGGTAGTACGTGGCGGCAGCCACCACCGCATGGTGGTGGTGGTTTTTATTCATTTTCTGGCCAACAAACCCTCACATGACCGAAACACATATACATACACGATTCTACTTGCTCATAAGGTCCAGCCACCCACCTGGTGGCTCATGGCGGCGCCATCAGCATAGTTGACGGCGACAGCCACCATGGCCGGCTGCCATGGTGGTTCTTCACGGCTTGTGCCCATCAGAAGAGACGCACCAACCTTCATTCGATCCTGAAACAACAACCCAAACGCACCAGATTCCTTGCAGCATCATATGGTGATGAGTGACCACCAGAGCAATTGGAAGGTTGCTTGGTGGCGGCAGCGACCGCTAGCAGCGGCCTGAATGAAACGAAGACGGGAGAACGTTGTTTGCGGCAAGGAGACGATGCGCCCATCACCACAACGACCACGACGCCTGTCGATGGTCCTAGTCCTCAACCACACCGGAGTAGCATGACGGTCTTCAACATGGCGGCTCTTGGCTTCGTCATTGACCGGCATAGCGATAGAGCGGCGGCTATTAGCAGCAACGCACATGGCGGTGACGAAGTGGCAGCGCCGGAGAATGGAGAAGGAGGGTGGTGGTGGCGCTGCAAGTCGAAGAAGGGGAAGGGAAATGGCGACCGATGCTTAGAGGTTGGCGGCTGCAACCTTTTCTTTAGGGTTAGGATTCACGTAAGGATATATACCAGTGCCTCTCTAACTTATTTCCATATTAACAGGATCAGCCCCTCCTTTCCTCTTTTCTCTCAAAATGAGTCCATAATTTACCCATTTAACCCTGGCTTTGGAAATCTCTTTCAATTTAAATCCAACATATTCCAAACAGCCCCTTGATTTCAAAAATATTTACAAACTAAATCCGAAACTTACACTTTTAACCTCCAACTTCTAAATTCTTCACAAATTAGTCTGTAACTTACATTTATTAATTTATTTAAATAAACGGGGCGTTACACATCACATAAAAGATTTTCTCACACAAAGTTTTGCCTTGGATGATCCAAACTCGCAAGAAAGTAAGGGGAAGATACATTGAGTGCAGACTTCTCTCCTTTGGACGATCCTGGTGTATACGAGCCCGTCATCGCAGATGAACACTAGGATTATATTCCCAGGTTTCGCTCTGATACCATAATAAATTGAATGAATGAAATTGTTTCTTAATTTCTTAATCAATAAACGATTACGGGGGTCCTTATATAGGAGTAAAAGCTAAAAGATAAGCACAAAGGGTTGATAATTATCCTAATCATTGAACAACAAGAAAACGAGTAAAGAATGAAACTAAAGATAATCTCAACAATTACCACTTTGTTTGTGTGCTTCCATTTGGTGTAGATTTGATATTTGCTTTGATAAAAATCTCAATTTCATATCGTTGAGGAATTGTTGGGTGATTCCATTCCAAAAAGATGATCCGCATTCTTAGACGCTGACCATCAGATCCTCCAATACATCAACCCATGCACGGGCCAAAATCACATGTTCGATCGTTCTCCAAGGTACAATTAGGGAACCAATTTAAGTGTTTGAGGATGACATTTTTAGCAATGTAAAATGAGAGAGAGAGAGAGAGAGAGAGAGAGAGAGTATTGAATGTTTGAGAATTGTGAAAAATGAATATAATGGTCGGTACTTATTTTGGTTGAAAAGTGGTATAAAATTTAAAATTAAAAAAATGGTTAATTCTTTTGAAAAGTGAGGAAAAGTAGGGAAATTGAAATTAATTAATGAGAAATTAAATATCTTCCTACCATTTGTTCCTACTTTTCCTCCTACCATATCAAATGTTGATATGTGTCACATTTAATTAGACATTTAATGAAATTAATAATCATTTAATCCACTTGTCAACATTTGATATGGTAGGAGGAAAAGTAGAAACAAATGGTAGGAGGATATTTAATTTCTCTTAATTAATTTCTCTCATTTACAACAGCTCGACATGCTGAGCTGAGGACGCGGTGTTTTTCGAGTTGACTCAACTATTGTTGAGCCCTCACCAAGTCGACTCCCCTTACCTAACACTCGGAAACTTGAGATTTAGAAATTAGGGGTGTAAAATTTGGATTTTTTATATATATTTTTTGCCTCTTAAGTGTTGAGAAGGGAGGAGATATTTGTAAATGAAAGATTTTGGTTAATGTTATTATGGGGAATCTTGGTTAAGCTTAGAGAAGGTAGCAATATTTACAATTTCATCTTGACACATTTTTTTACTTAATTTTAAGTTGATTTTTTTTATTTCATTTATTAACAACCTCGATGTAAATTTTATTTTAAGATCACTAGATATATTCTTATAAATATGATAATAACAAAAAATACAACATAACTGAAAAAACAATCTAAAAGAATTGACCTTGTACAACATAATTGCACCATTTAAAACCAAAGTAAAAAAATATGTACAAAGTTATAAAGCATAAAAGTTGTAAAGCCGTAGTTAAAACCAAGTTGTAAAAAACACTCTAGAAACAAAGATATAAAAGAAATACAAAAATGAAGTTGTAAAAATTAAAAAAAAAAAAAGAAAAAAAAAAAAAAGAAAAGAAGAAAAGGGGGCTAATTTGTGCAAACAGTTCGGGACCATTTCATAATAAAAATTAAAACTAGCAGCAAACTTTAAAAAAAAAAAAGTTAGATAATCTGATAACTTACTATAGCAAGTCACATTGGTGTAGCTGATATAGTTTTAAAAGGTAAATGACATTGTACATAAAAAAAAAGTTAAGTGACTATACTAGCTAAGGAAAACCTTTACGCTTTTTTAAGACTCAAATCACCCCATGAACTTTATATGGATGTCACTTTATCGAAGAAACTTATATGATACAAATAATAATCAAAATATATAAATTCATTTAAGTTTAAATTAAGCACCTGTTCAATTCCATTTAACGACTCTTGAAAAAAACTTGAAACTGAAATGAAAATCATAGCGGTAAAATTATCATTTTTATTATCACTAATGAGATTTGGTCGAAATAGGCATGTGGTTGTATATCTCAAATAAGTTTTTTCGATGTTTTGTTGGTTAAAATGACAAACTTTTTAAATTCGATAGCGTACAAGACCTAAATAGAGAGACATGTCCAAACCCCAAGTGTATATAGAATTGGGATACACATGTAACATGTTACATGTCGATGCCTTAGGCTACGTGGCATGCTAAGTTTTTAACCTTTCAACTTTTCACCCCAAATAATTGCCATTTTATTTTCCTTATCAAAATTTCATTAAAAATTCAAGAAAATATCCTTATTTCAAACATTTCAAGAACAACCGAGTCTTAATTTTTGGGGACCTCATGCAGAGGGGTGTGGACATGTCGTCGTGCTATGCCTTCATCAACGTCAACATTCATGCCCATGAAATGTTGGGCATGCCATGTGACCTAAAAATCATTTGTATGGTATAAAGATAACATATAAAAGATAAAATATTTTTTAAAATATTTTTTTGTATATTACAATGTTACAAAAACTAGCTCTACTTTAATATAAAGTTCAGTTTGGATTGAATTTTGTATATCACAATGTTAACACTTTTATTCACGATGAGAATAAGACTATTATTTTTTTTTAAATGACAAACAATTGCTGTTTTGTATCAACTTTAGAGGAGCTTTTACATTTAATTATTCATGGCCAATTGGCCATAGACAATATTACGAGGATAAAAAAAAAAAGATAACCATACAACGTGATGTTTATGAATGGCTTTTGGGTGATATAAAACTTGATTTGTTTGAAGAAGGTCAATGACTACAAACATAGATAACCATTTGTTCCATAACATTCATTAAAAAACAATAAAAGCAAACTTAGAAATGTAAAATAAGGGAAATATTGGAGATTGTGGCACTAGATGATATTATACCAAAAAAAAAGCTTCATCAATTAACCTTCTGCCACTTTAAACAAACCTCCACCGCCAT